GACCCTCGACAGCGGCCACGGGATCCGAGGCTCTGGCTTTCCTTCTGCAGGAGCAGGAGAGGGTACAGGAGCCGGGGCACTCGGTCCCAGTGGAGAGCAGCGCTGTGAGGGCCATAAGCCCTCAGCATGCCATCTGGGTAACAGTAAGTCCTTCATCCACACTTCCTGTTGTTAGGACGTTTTTTTGTTTGCCTCCAGTTTGCTCCTGGATGCCTGAGGTGGGTATCCTCCCCAAAGCACCCCTCTCCTCCATCGAGGTTGTGGAGCAGCTGCAAGGCCTGGCTGGGAGCCAGCTCAACCTCCAGCCCTGGAACCCAATACCCACCACTTTAGTGCAAGTGACTTTTTTTCTACAATAAACACGCACTCCTTTTATAATCAGGAAGGTGGGGAGGGGGGCGGGGGCGGAGCTTTAATTACAATGATTCTGAAAGGAATGACTGAGTAGTAATAGTGTTCAAGTTCGCCATAATTCAGCCCTTGGGCACAGTTGGGTTTGTAATCCTGTATGACATTTTGCTGGTCTCTCCTGGTTGACTAATTCCATACCTTCTCCTCTGTCTTCAAACTGCAACATCTCCCCAGCCTAATTCTTAGTCAATGACTCTGCTTGCTCTCTCCATGGGAAAACACAAAGCTCTGGCAGAGAACCAGGGGTCACGAGCTCCCGCCCCCACCCCACCCTGCCACCATGTCTCCACCTGGGATCTGCCTCTGTGTCAAGTCTCCTCCAAGGGTGGCCCTTCCCCTCACCAAACGGACAATAACTGTCAGGAAGGGGGAAGAGCAAAGCCACGTCCACAACTGTGACAGTCCACTTACTTAAAACGCAAAGAAATAGGAGGCAAAGATGGAATACTACTAACAACATGTCTGTTACATCTTAGAGGCAGGCAAATGGTTATGTGTTTTCTTTTATGATAGAGCTACTTTACAATTAAAATTTTTAAAACATTTTCAAAAAGAAAGAGCAAAGTCTACAGATAAAAAGTTATGAGGGAAGTTGAAGAAATCAAAGCTGATCTAAGACAAATGGCATTTTGGCTTTTTCCTCCTCCAATACAGGTGACAATATCCCAGACCCAAAAACCAAAATCCAAAATGCCTCCAAATCCAAAACCTTTTCTCGGTGACACTCAAAGGCAATGCTCACTGGAGGATTTCTGATTTTGAATTTTTAGACTTAGGATGCTCAACCAGTAAGTATAATGCAAATATTCCAAAATCAAAAAAAAAAAAAAAAAATTCCCAAATCCAAAACACTTTTGCTTCCAAGCATTTCAGATAAGAGATACTCAACCGGTATAGACTTTCCCAAAGCACGTGACACGCTCACCTGACGTTTCTGAAATCTCAAGCTGGCACACGAACACATGGTATGAATAATGCTTTTCTGTTTGAAGTGGGGATTTATGAGGACTAAGTGTATTGAAAAAGAACCATAATCATTAAAACACTGTGTTGGGCATAACAGCATCCACACGAGGGAATGGTCAGGACACGGGACAGATCAACAGTGGGGAGGGCTGCCCAGGCGCTCTTCCTGCTCTGAGTACATGCTCATCTGTTCAAAGGGAACGAGCTCTCACGGTGAATGCTGGAGTCATTCCTGATACGTACGTGTGTGTGTGTGTGTGTGTGTATTAGTCTGTTTCCACACTGTCAAATGTCAAAACGTCAAAAGAATAGTTAAGATTAAATTCAATCATTAGGAAATGTATAACAGCAATTGGGGATTGACATAAAAATATACCCAAAAATGTTTACTCTCCCATATCATAAAAATGTGGCTTTAAAGACATTTTCCTATCAATTTTCAAGTTCTCACCTAACCTGAGATGAATATTTCTTTGTAGTATTTTTCAGTGGGTTGAAATGACCAAAACACAGTTTTTTTTTTTTTTTTTTTTTTTTTTTTTTTGAGACGGAGTCTGGCTCTGTCGCCCAGGCTGGAGTGCAGTGGCCGGATCTCAGCTCACTGCAAGCTCCGCCTCCCGGGTTTACGCCATTCTCCTGCCTCAGCCTCCCGAGTAGCTGGGACTACAGGCGCCGCCACCACGCCCGGCTAGTTTTTTTGTATTTTTTAGTAGAGACGGGGTTTCACCGTGTTAGCCAGGATGGTCTCGATCTCCTGACCTCGTGATCCGCCCGTCTCGGCCTCCCAAAGTGCTGGGATTACAGGCTTGAGCCACTGCGCCTGGCCAAAAAACACAGTTTGAAAGAACACGCTTCACCTGAGAGGCTTCTAAGGCACAGGCCACTGTGCAGGCTCAGTGACGGAGGTCACACAGGACTGCTGCACACGCATGCATCCTTTCTCTGCCCACTGTTCCTGGGCATCGCTGCTACGTTATTTAAAATTACTCTGCAAACACTCCCACCATGCCCACCAGCCCGTGCACGAATATGCAATAAATGCCAGGAGACACGGCACCCTCTTTGACTCAGACCAATGGGAACCGGGTTGTGAGGGAGGTAAATGGCCAGCGTCAGTTTCACGGGGCAGCCTTCCCCACATGCCGCCTCTCCAGTCCGGTGGTTCACCCCAAAGGAAGAGAATGAGGGTGACAGGCTGCAGGAGAGGTCCAGGCCTTGAACAGGGATGTGAAGGCTACATCACACACATTCCTCAGTACTAGTCAACGGGACACTGAGATGACATTTATTGAGGAACTACTAAAAAGCTGACACATACGTTTCATCTTTATGAGAACTCTGGAGAGAGGCATTATCATCCCCAGCTAAGAAACGAGAAAACAAAACTGAGCTATTCAGCAACTCGCCTAAGCTCCCACGCAAACGGGCCGCAGAGGCGGGCCCAGGTGCCCTCTGTGGGAGGCTGAAGCCCCGGCCTGTCCTCACACCAGGCTGGGATCCCACAGCAGGTCTCAACAGGCAATGCGTGCTTCCCAAGCCAGAAAATTAATTTGAAGTCCACCGTTTTTGGTTCACTTGGAAACTATGCATGTTTACCATGTTTTCCCAGCCCATCAAGCTATCAGAAAATCCTCTTAACCTCATGCCACGCCTGGTTAAACACAAGCAAGTTGTCTCAAAAATGCCCCAGCCACAGGATTGTGTTTACATGAAAACAATCCTGGCAAAGTGAACTTGAGAGAAAGTGAAAGCCAGAACGGTTGACATAAGCCAAAAGTTTAAAATTGTGCATCTGCATCTGGTATTTAAAACTCCCCACCACTCCCCCAGGCTCCAGTGTGCGGGGGTAAGAAATAAGCTGCTCGATCAGTAATAATGCAGAGTAAAATCAAGGTGTAAAAAACAGAAAAGAGTGCCCCGAGGACCCCCCAAGAGGCCAGGGCACCATACCCCACAGACACGGAGAGCCTCCCCAGAGCAGGGCAAAGACACCTCCAGAATGCCGGGTTCGGAAAATGACAGAAAACCTGGCCGACCTGGGAAAATTGCAACGCAAAGAAGGAAATGTCTTCTTGGAAATGTTCGGCCTGGCTCCAAGCTGGCTTCAACTTCCTTTCAGGGGTGATGAGTGGGTCTCACTGGGGCACCAGAGGGCACAGGTGGCAGCAAAGGCTGACTGTCAAGAAAGGCACAGCTGAGCCAAGACCAGAGACCCAGGCCTCAGGACGCAGTCCCTGCCAGGCGCGGCCACACTGCCCTGCAGGACGCGTGTGGAACGGACGCTGCGGCGGTGGTGCGGTGGAACGGACGCTGGTTCCTCAGGCGCGCCACACTGCCCTGCAGGACGCCGTGGAACGGACGCTGCTTCCTCAGGCGCTGCCACTGTCGCAGGACGCTGCGGTGGGAACGGACGCTGGTTCCCAGGCGCCACACCCCTGCAGGACGCCAGGGAACGGACGCTGGTTCCCCAGGCGCCACACTGCCCTGCAGGACGCGTGGTGGAACGGACGCTGGTTCCTCAGGCGTCACACTGCCCTGCAGGACGCGTGTGGAACGGACGCTGGTTCCCTCAGGCCCACGCCTCAGGAGGTTCGGGTTTTATTCTCGGAGAGGCCGCGTGCCTGGGAAGAATGGTAACCTCACAAGGAGTTTAAACCCTGGAGGATTCTACATGGAAACGGGTCTTACAGACAAAGAAAAGCGGGAAAAGTCTGTTTCCATGGCCTACAGACTTGGAGTACTTTAAAATGTTACCTACGAGGCCAGGCGCAGTGGCTCACACCTGTAACTCCAGCACTTTGGGAGGCCGAGGCAGGCAGATCACTTGAGGTCAGGAGTTCAAGACCAGCCTCACCAACATGGTGAAACCCCGTCTCTACTAAAAATACAAAATGAGCCAGGTGTAGTGGCACACGCCTGTAATCCCAGCTACTTGGGAGACTGAGGCAGGAGAATTGCTTGAACCCGGGAGGTGAAGGCTGCAGTCAGCCGAGATTACGCCACTGCACTCCAGCCTGGGCGACAGAGTGAGACTCCATCTCCAAATAAACAAATCCATCAATAAATAAATAAATAAATAAATAAATATTACCTATGGAATGAAGTATTTCTGATCACTACCGGTACTTTTTTTGTTAAAGAGCTGAGAGGTGCTTGGAAGACAGAGGATGCCACTGACTCATTTAACCAACAAAAGCTGGTGGCAATGGACAAGGCGTGGTCTGTCCATGGTCGCATGACCAGTGGGACCCAGCCCCGCCCACTGCAAGCTCAGAGGTCTTTCCTACAGGTCCTCACGGGGATCAGGGCCAGGGCTTACACCCAGACCAAGCAGTCGGTGCCTTTGGGAAGAACACATCCTTTAGCACCAGAGAGGAAACAAAAAACAAAAAACAAAAAACACAAAAGATCAGCGTTTCTCTACCATTCACATGTCATGGAGCCATTTCATTTCCAAAAAGGATGGCCTCGTTTACTATCAGGAAGAGCACCCAAATTCAGTGAGACTGATAACCCACACCTCCCCCGTCGCCTTCTCCGCACTCCTCCAGTAAGGCAGAGCCTTTGAACACCTCTGGTTCAGCGCAGGGCCAGCCGGACAGGGCAGGAGTGGGCAGACTTACCCGTGCTGGGCATGTGGTTCACGCGGGCAGGATTCAGCAGCTCCACTGGCTGGTCTCGGCCAGAAAGTCCATCTGGAGAAGAGAGAAGGCATTGGCTTCAGAAACTGCGTGCATTTCAGCCAACATACTTTACGCTGGGAGTCTGCAGGGAGTAACTCCCCAAACAATGAAATGCATGTGTCCTTTCTACTTTTAAAGGGGGACACTTTCAGCTTTGTCATAGATTATTTGTATTTGCCAAAGAAAATCACAGATCCTTTGTAGAATAATCAAAATAGCCTCCTACTGAGACATGGCAAACGCCCGTTTCTGGCCTAAGAGCCCCTGGCTTAGCAATTTGGGTTTACTTCTGTTCAGCAACCACATTATACCCACTCGTGCTGATCAGAAGTTGGCTTTTCTGCAGACCACAAGCATTAAGATAATGAAAAGAGAAGAGCAGCTCTTCTTCCCAGATAGTGACAAATGGTCTGGACACTCACAGAAACACAGCACAGGGAGCACTCCAAACCTGCCGGGTGTGCGGACAGGGAAGGAGGCGAGCTGAGGCCACTCCGGCCTCAAACAGGCATGGAGAACGCTTCACCAGGTGTTCTCAAGGTACAGAGACCTTTCTTTTAAATCCACGTTTAAACTGTATTCAGGAGCTGTTTCTATCTATTCAGACTCACTGCAAAAATGAGACTGGAACCCACCCACCACCTAAACCTGGCGCAGGCTGGATTTAGACTGCCTGGGATTTTTCTATATTCTCCCAAGCAGAAAGGAAAGAAAACTCTGGCAAGATTTCCAGGAATCACACTTTTCTTTTAAAATTAGCTTCTGACAAGTGGTGTAAAATGCCCTGCAATAATGTGCATATCATTACAGACTTGCACACAGAGGTCATTTTCCTTACTAAGCGAAGGAGGAGAGCACCAGTTTCACAGGACAGCCATGGAACTCTGTAGATACAAGTTTTAAAACAGGACAAAAATGACTAACATCGGGTCAAATGACTGCAAAAAAACCCCCACTTTTTATCCAAAATAGATAATTCCTAGCATCGCCAACCCCTGCATGTCCTTGGAGATGTTCAGTATCCAAGAATGGAAACCAGGGTGCCAGGAGACTGGAGGGCACACTCTTGAGATCTGAAGTCCACCCTAAGGTGGAGCTGGGAAAGTGTGAGGCCAGCATGGACCTGCAGGAGCTCAGCAGGTGAGGCTGCTCTTGGGTAATGCAGAGATCAAATGTGGGTGCCAGAGCTAAAAATTAAACTGAAGACAACAACAAAAAACCATGGGTACCTCTCCAGCCAACCAGCAGCTCCTCCCAAGTCTCAGCAACTCTTAAGGTTTCAAAACAGAAGTAAGACACTGGGCATATTTGGGGGCAAAACAGTTCTGCTTCCCTGGGTCAAGAGACCGGCAGGTCACAGTTACACCTTAGAAGCAGCCACCAGACCTAAGCAATCACCCCAAGCCTTCACACATTCCAGGGCTTTCTCAAAGAACACGGCCGCCTGGGAGATGGCCTGGATGCTGAATTGTAAACATGATGCCATGTCTCACGAGAACCTTCACTGCAACTCAGAAAGAGACCCCAGATAGTGGTGGAAAGTACTTTTCAAGCCTTTTTTCCCTAAAAATCAATAAATGCTCATTGTAGAAAAAAATAAATTCAAAAAAGTGCCTGTACGTACGTATGTGTGTATATGTATGTGTGTATGTGTGTGTATTTAACCCAAATCCTGCTATAAATACTTTCAGAAACAGCAGAAGGCCCTTTTGAAGATCTCAGTGTAGCTGTAGTTTTCCAATGGGAAGGGGTCAAGAGGAGGGTGCTTGGGTGGACCACCCTGGTCAGGGCTCTGCACCAGTTCCTAGGAACCAATGCCTGTCCCCAGAACCGCTTCCCCTGTAGTCAGTCCAATGCCCACCCTTAGCTTCCAGCTCAGCAAAAGCCCTGGAACCAGAAAGTTTGGAAACCAAGAAGGCCCCCAGTGGTGAGCAGCAGCGGTGGGGCCAGAGTCCCAGCTCACATGAAGCTCCTTCTTGAGTTTAGAAGTGAACCGCTTATCCCTGAGCCCAAAAGGCGAATCCCTCCAGCACCAAGTTCATAAATAAGGCCTAATTACAAGTTACTTTTACTACGCTGAAGCAGGAAGACACATCAGACCTCAGTGCAACCGATTCGACTTGTAAGTCACGATATGTGGTGTTCCTGTATCCACAAGCATCACTCGTGTGTATCAGATCAAGGTGCAGCTTAGTGGGTCTTGGCTCACCTACATTTCTGGGCAGTGGGCTGGGCCGGGTCCCACCTACCCTTCAAGACGACATTGATCGTGCGCTTGCACCAGCTGGCACACCAAGGAGAATGCCGTTCGATAACATCTGCGGAAACCAGACCTTGAACTTCACATGTCCCGTCCTGTACACTGACGGGTGGGGTGGTTTCTGACACCAGCCAACCGGTACCAACTGGGTGTCCGATGATCCAGCTCCACTCTGACAGTAACCACCCAGAGCTAGCACACACGCCACAGCTGAGGGGCTCAGGTCGACAAGACTGCCCCCATGTCAGACACAAGTCCTGGGCCTCCTGGGCTTCTAAAGATCAGCTATAAATCAGGAGTTCCCACAAGCCCCTCTCAGGTTCTGGAATTTGCTAGAAGGGCTCACAAAACTCAGAAAAACACTTTACCATGTTGACGGGTTTATTGTAAAAGACGCAAATAAACAGCAACACGAAGGCAGGGTCTGGAGGGGTGCTGTGTGCAGGAGCCTCTGTCTCAGTACCACTGGGGTGAGCAGGTGTAGCTCAACATTCTGTCCCTCTCGTCTCTGGGTCCTGATGACCGGCCCCATCCTGAGGCTACCCAGGGGTCCTGCCCTAAGTCACTTCATTAGCATAAATTCAGAAGCCCATAAGAAGCTCCTCCGAATAATGAAAGGCTCGCCTGACACTCAGGAACCTCCGGGATCCTAAGAGCTCCCTGCCGGGAATGAGGACAAAGACCAGACAGGCTTTTTCTTCCACCACACAGAGATGCTGCTTGTTCTCACTGTGCCACTGGCTGGCCTCATAACAACCTGTAAATTCAAACCCCCAAAACTGCCATGTTCACATCTTTGTAGAATGACATGGAAATGCTTAAAGGGAAAGCTGTTCTGATGCAGCACTGGGTTAATAGGAAGCGCCTGCCTCTCACGGAAAGAGGCAGCCATGTGGAACTATCAGAAAACAGCAGGAGTGTCTCAAGCACACAGGGGCCTTGGAGGAGGCGGCACAGACATGGCTCTCAGTGCCGGACGCTAACCCCACATGTGGAGGCCCCATGAGCCCCAGCCAGCTGGAAAAATGGCCGCAATCTCTTTAAGACAAGATCCTGGCCTGAGCCGTCCTTGGTCGTCCACCTGGACAGCATGACAGATGCCACGTCCCTCATTATGAAAGGCGGGGGCTCAGGGCAGCAGCCATGATCAAGAAGTCAAACACTAAAGGCAAACGTTTTGCCAGAGGTGGCTGGTGGAATGCGATCCTGGGGGCAGAGCAGTGGGGGTGAGAGTGCACTTTGAAGGCGCAGGGGCCACCACGCCTGGGAAAGACAGCTTTGCAATGGACCTAAACAAAGCGCGGCCAATGAGGCAAAGGATATCCGTCACCAGGGTGAAACAGACAAGCTACGGGACACGGTCAGCTGGAAGGCAGGATGGCATCCGGGACGGCATCCGTGAATGTGCACAGAATAGATTCTTAACGCTGTGTTTTTTCAGATGTCATATTCCAGAGCGAGTTAAAATGAAATTAGTGATGAGAGGTGGAATTTCCATATTTATCTGCCTCTGGGCTGAAATTTCTCAGGCTAAGGAGAAAGTGGTGCTAAGAACCTAACATTGACAAGCTGGAAAATAATTAAGATGGGAATCAAAGTACCACTTCCTCATCACACACCTGCGGCAAGCAGGTTGCCTCTGTCTCCGCTTGAGAACCTATTTTTGGAAACGCTGCGGGATGGGGACGATAGTACTGAGTGTCCTGAAACGGCATTTAATCGGCGCTGGGGCTGCAGACCAGACGCACACTGAGAGGGAGGCTGGGGAGCGCGGGTACCTCCGTGTCCTCACCAGCAGGTGATGTGCCCCAGCGCGCTCCACGCGCCCACGGTCGACTGCAGTGACCACATCAGTCTTGCAAGGAGTCCCGTTGGTGCCGACTGGACCCAGCGCGAACTGAGCACTGTTTGAGACTCGGGGTCTGCCCATGGGAGGAGCAGGGCTGAGACAGACAGGGCTTTTGCTTTTCAGAACCCGCCTCGCGTCAGGCAGGTAGGTGTGTCTAACCAGAAACCTGGCCTTCCGGAGCCAAAGGAACCTCACTTTCACCCGGAGGGCCCAGGCCCCCCACTTCACATGTGGGGAAATGGCCTCACAGGTTGTGCAGTTTCCCAGGATCATGGAGTGGGCACCAGCCAGAACCCAGTTCATTCAACCAAACCAGCGGCTTGTCTGAAGCTGGACCTTGAGCTAACAGGTGCCCACCAAGACCAGTGCCCTCCTCACGACACTGCCACACAAGAAAGGAGGTGTCTTGAGCCAATAAAGACAGTATGTGAAAGCCCCACGCACAGGCTCCTGAACTGAGAGGGGAAGGGAGTGGGGAGGAAGTGTGGTTTCACCCTTGGGAACTGCCTGGGACCACCTAGTCCTGCCCAGGTTGGGGTGAAAGGGTGTCTCTTGAAGGTTTCACTAGCCTTTTCCAGATGACCAATGGCACTGACCATCTTCTTATATGTTTATTGGCTTTTTCATTGGCTATTTTGGATTCATGTCTTTTTGACCCGTTTTTTTCCCCTGGTTGGGTTGTCTTTTTCTTACTGATTCAGAGGAATTCTTTACAAATTCTGAACATTAGTCCTCTGTCAATTAAATGCTGCAGATATCTTCTCAAAGGTCCTATTTCTCAATCGTTCAAAGCTTCTGCTTTTATGTCAGGTTCAAGAAACTCTTCTCTTCCTGGAGGCTGCAGAGATATTTCAACATATTTTTACCCTGAAACTTTGCACTGTTCCCTTTTATATGTAAGTC